GGTGGGGACAGTCGCTAGTCCTTGCGCTGCGTGATCACTGGGCTGTCACCTCTCATACTCTCAGGGGTCCTCTCCTCGCTTTAGGTAGTTTTCTCACTCTCTTGTGCTCATCAGGGGTCTGCTGACTACACGAGCCCTGCGCCCTCTGTGGATATCCACGGTCTTTCCTCCTCGCAGTTGTCTTATCTCTGGTCGTCTGCCTGGCATACTCCAGCTGCCGGAACTCGCTGAATCATCATCTCCTAACCGCCAGGTATCCGCTGGGCTCTACCAGGAAACCTTCTGGGTCTCTGCCTTTCTTCCTTCTCCTTTTTTCCTTTTTTTCTTCTTATTCTATAGACGTTAATTATTGATGGATTATTAAGAATCCATCTCTTTTACAACACAGTCCGCTCTGCTTCCCCTCCTCCTCCTCCCTTTTGTTTCTGTTAGATTCTATTCAGTTCTGAGTGACCCCCACACCCTGGACTCATCACCTGGCTTCTTTTTGTTTGACTTCGTTTCTGTAATGTCACAATGGTAATATTTTAAACTGATAAGAACAGATGCTACACTTGATCTCAGCCAAAAGGCCAAGAAGCGCTACAACGGCTTTTGAGTTGGAGTCTCACTCTGTCGCCCAGGTTGGAGTGTAGGGGCATGCTCACAGCCACTGCAGCCTTGACCTGCTGGACTCAGACAGTCCTTGCACCTCAGCCTTCCAAGTAGCTGGAACTACAGGCATGTGCCATTTGGTGATATTTTAAACCATCTCCCTTGTTGTCCTCTGCCCTCTGCATGTTGCACTGGTTCTGTCTAGACCAACTACAGGCACATCTGTCATCCCGGGACTTCCTTTATCCGGGGCTGGAATCCAATCCTGCCTCACATGTCTTTCTCTTTACTGTTTTACTCCTCATTTCTGTTTGTGTATTTGCTGGTTTTGAAATTCAGATTGGGGGGGCACACCTCATCAACAGGGGTACCTGCACGATGAATGTTTGTATAACCAACCCTGAATTGTACCCCACAATTTGAAAATTTAAAAAAAATTTTTTTAAATTCAGATTTGGCTAGGCATGGTGGCTCACACCTGTAATCCGAGCAGTTACGGAGGCCAAAGTGGGAGGATGGCTTGAGCCCGCGAGTTTGAGACCAGCCTGGGCAACTCAGTGAAAGTTCATCTCTACAAGTCAAAAAATTAGCCGGGCGTCGTGGCAGGCGACCATCGTCCCAGTCACTCGGGAGGCTGGGGTGCAAGGATTGCCGGAGCCCAGGAGGTGGAGGACGCGGTGAGCTGTGATCATGCCACTGCTCTCCAGCCCGGGTGACAGACTGAGACCCCCAACTCGGGCTTATTGAGGCACAATTTACAGCGTATACACTTCCCCTTTGTTAGATGGGCCCGTCTAGGAGTTTTGGCCAACACATGCGGTCTGTAAACACAGCCATCTGTCCCCTGGCCCCCGATCAGCTGAAGCTGGCGATTTCACCACCCAAGTCAGGTGGGCCACTCCTCCGTTCCAAACCCTTCTCATTTGGGGGCAAAGCCAAAGCCCTCGGGGGCCTACAGACCCCAAGTGGCCCGCACCTAGCCTCACGGGCCTCGTCCACGCCGCGCTTCCCCTTGCACACTCTGCTCGGCCAGCGGGGCCTTCGCCCTTTCTGGAATGGCCAGGCCCGCTCCTGCCTCAGGGCCGGCACTGGTCTTCCCTGTCGGGAGCTCCCTCCCCCGGCTCCACCTGGCCCACGCCTGACCTCCTCCGGGTGCTGCCCAAATG